CACATTGGCGGTTTACTTTAAATTACAGTCTTTTGCAAACGGCATTTCCGCTCTGGCACACGGAAAACGGTACAAAAAGTTTTTGGTATTCGTTTCGCAATTAGAAATGGATTGAACACAACGCAAGTGTTAAATTGGAATATTCATTGAGTAAAGATTCAAAAACTTGTATGTGATGACTGCATCTCACGGCATGTTGTATTGTTCGTGTACCGAGAATAAGCCACAGAAAGGAAGAGAGAGAATGAACCAACGATTGAGCACGGTAGAGAGACTTTTCATATCTCAATCAACTCTAATTTCAGCTGTAATTACAAAGTTTAACTTCTTGCAAAAATCACGCTCACAACTGAACCGAGCATGTGATATTCGAAGCGCAATTTCTTCCATCTCTTCACCTCGACCGCGTACGTTTCTTGTCACAAACCGGACCAAAGTAAAGCTCGGGCTTGTGAAAAGTTTGAAGCGAAATTAAATACCGTTAACGTTTTACTGATGAAAAATTGATCGACCGAGCGAACGGGAGAGAGAACGTCAAGCGAGAAATGATCTTAGCGCCAGGAGAAAACGACGCTTTCCAATAACAAAACACGAGTGAAAACTTTCCTGACAACTATAGTTTATCGTTGATGCAAGGCAAACGGAAGTCAACGGGCGTTGTTAGTGCATAGCGGTAGAGAGTTTCACATCATCCGGGAGCTCATCGTCAATGCAACGGGCTTTTTGTATAGGAGTTTTCACCGTGGAAAACTCACAATTTAATTCCGAAATTAGTTTGCACAGTTTGATTGAATATACATGTTCTAATTGTACTGCATACAGTTGGAAATATTTCACGGCATCACTTTGAAGTCATTACGTAATTCTTATTCGACGGCACCGGCATACTAACCATGAAATGTTGATAATGATATTAACGAGGTCGATTGTTCTATTTGCTTTTGCGCGAAAAAGTGAAAAGATCAATTAAAACTCTTGAATCAAGTAAAAATTTGTTACACAGAAAATCTCTCGCTGTGTGTCTCTCGCATTCCATCTCAATTGAAAGATTTGTCAAATGTTCATCATTCCGACGCATCAATCATTTGATTTCATTAAAAAATACACCAAAATGAAAACTTTATTTCAAAGTATAATGTTTCGAATTAGTCGAGAAAAAAAAGAGTTTGGAACAATGTTTCTTCTGCAACTTCCATTAATAGCATTAATGACTTTGAAGACAATGGCTTTATTTACAAAAGATTTTTGCAATTCCATTGTTCATACTGAATAAAACATATTTTTTTCTCTCTCTCTTTTTTTGTCTCATTTCAGGTAAGAATTTTGCACTTTGATGTTGATGTCATAACTTAAATACTTGCAGCTAGCGAGAATTCTTTTTTTTGGTATGATGTCGACGCACAAGGTAAGGATTTGCATTTTCTTGTGACACAGAACTCATCATTGTGAGATTTATGAACTGATCATCGCTCTTAAGGGTATTACTTTTGATTATGACAAGCTAAGAAAGATTACATTTGCATCATTTACTACCGACGAACATAATTTCTGGGGAAAAAAAATGTCTTATCAGATCTCTATTGAAGGGAAGTAAATTTTCTATCCATACTTTATTCTCATCGACAACTTTGAATATCCTATTGATAGACAAATGAGAGAGTACTCATCGGCAACATAAAAATGTTTGAAATTTTTTCACTTTGTAGTAGAAGATATCACTGTCAAACTGACAATGTTAGTACATTGACAGAGACTCATTCAAAAAGAGCGATTCTTCTGAATTCAGTAAACTCGTATGCTAGTTGCATCGCTCGAATAGCGGATAAATTGTAGTTTGCTTGACTGGAGTATTACTCGGAAATGATGATAAAAATCGAACACAAAGTGTAAAGTAAATAACACACGCTTATTTATGATTGCATCAAATTCATGTCATCTCAATGGTTTCTCTGTTAAATCTTGATTGCTACATCACTGCTGTCGTCATGGCTTTAGTGCACTCTCAATATTTCATCAAATCAACACTAAAATTGCATTTCGGTAAATAAATATGAACTGGATTTTATTAAAATGCGTGGATAAAATTGAATTTTCCTTTTATTTGCTTATAAACAAAGTGACTTTTTAAAATATTTGCGTCAATTTGTCACTGAAATTGACATGATTCCAAATCGTTGCTTTCAACAACGGAATATATAACATTTGGTTGAATTCACCTAAGACAAATTCCGGCTCTGTTTTTTTTTATTCGTTTCCAAGTGGCAAAAAGAAAATATTGACGACGAAGATGACGATGACAGAGAAAAAAAACTGTATCAGATTTGTGTATGGAAACGACAAATGACGTAGACATATTACCAAAAAGCAATTTTAGTGGAGAGCTGTGCGGGCAAAACACAAAATATACATATTATCCATGTATCCATCAAATTTCTTTTCACGTCATAAAATTTTTATTTTTATGCATTCGACTCTAAAAAGGATCGGAGAAAAATGTGCCACGACGATGTGTCTATAGAGCGAGTAGTTTGAAGATGAGAAATCTCTTTGGTAGCAAAGAAACTCATATCTTAAACGAGAATAAATGCAACAAAAAATACGAAGGAAGGAGGCGGGTGGATATAAGAAAGAAGCAAACGATCGCAGTGGTGAAAACGCATTTTTCTAAATTTGATATGCGAGAAGTGACTTGAAAATGTAATAACACGATATGCAGGCAAATGTTGTGTGTGCGCGCTTCCGAACCGAATTAGGTTAGAGGGTACAATCTCTGTAGCATTGAATGGAAAGCATATATTCACGAAAGAGCATATCCAGACACTTTGAAAGCACGACCAGGGAAAAAGAACGAACGTGTTCGCTTTGTACGATGTTTACATATTTATTTATTTTGGATTCTTTTTTTCTCTTCACATTTTCATACACTAACGCTGGATATTAGTTGCATTTACCTTCAGATTTGTTCCACATACAAACATTAAATTACATCCAACAAACTAATCCAGTTTATGGAAATGATGCGGAATTCCTTTGTATTTTGCCAATTTCCAACTACATTGCATAATGGAATCATTAAAAAAAAAACTTGATGGGAATTTTTGTTTCGGATTTTTCTTTCTTTCCACGTCGACCTGTACACGCTCCATTTTACTATGCATTCGACTGCGTGAATAATTTTTAATAAAATGCCAACATTAAACATGTTCCAATATTTCGCGAGAAATATAACGGGACAACACGGAGAGATTCTCAAAAGAATCACGTTTAGGAATTTGCGCTCAGCGCGCATTTTTTTCCTTTCAAATTTTTTTCTTTGTGCGAATTTCTAGTTTAATAACAATTTCATTCGCCTGAATACCATGCATTTCAAGTAAAATGGAGTAAAATTAAAAACTTTTCGTTTCATATACAGTCATTTTTACCTTTATGTTCCTCATATACTGGGAATTGGAAACATTTCCGCGGGTAAATGTTGAAAATCAAATACTTTCGAGAAAATTTGCAAATATTATTAAATTTGATTGTAGAGTAACGGCTACTAATTGTCACAACCCCTGCACTACACTAACAAAACAAAGTAAAACACGAATTTGCGATGAGCGCATTCAGTGAAGTTCATTTCAATTCTTTGTGTCGTAAGACGCACTCATGAACGCAACAAATTGAACGCATCAACAATGTTCCTTAATGAAATAAACATTTTTTACTTATAAAATTGATGTTTATCACGTGCTACGCTCTCACAAGAATCAATTTTGCACATTCGTGACATTTTTATTTTTTTTGTCTACTTTATTAACAAATATAAAAAAGATTCAATAATACATTGAACAATCTGTGTCACAACTTTTGACACTTGTCTCGTAGCGCTAGAAGTGAGCTGTCAGACGCTTAGATGCAGGACCTTCGCTAATTGCATCATGAATGAAATAGTCGTGCTGGTGTTATTTGATTGCTGATAAGCAAAATATGCAATTTGAATTAAGGCAAAGTGTTCAATTTCCATCAAAATTCCTCGATGTACCCAATCCAACAATTCTATGGAAATTCAATATTTGGACTTTGAGAAGTTCGAAAATGTGTGTCGATCTTTTTGCTTCATTATCTCCGTTTCTATCTGAGCTTCCTGAAATGGAAAATAATACGAAGAATGCTTTTCATTAAATGAAGAATATATCGAATAATAGAGAATTTCACCGAAGAAAATTTCACAGTATGCTTACTTTCAATGGGTTTTGTACGATTATTTTACAAAAATAAACAATACCCGATTCAATGGAAAACGATGAATGAATTTTTACAAAATTAAAATATCTTCGAAAACAATGGTTTTCACTATGAATGTTGTGGCACAACTCTTTGTGCATCGATGAAGCGCAACATGGAAGGATTTATTGCAAAAATTCTTGCAGCAACAACAAATAAATTAAATTTCCGTTGCATTCAAATATTTGATTGCAGCTTGTGTGTTTGCGAAATTCAATATCTGATGCGGATGGAATCTGAAGCCAATTACTCTCTCGCCAATCAAATGTTGGCATCAAAACTGCAGTTAGTTGGTTCAATCTGCCAAATATCACGTGTGAAAAACAGCATGTGATTTGGACGATATTGCTTTCAAATCGCACACACGCGCACACAAACACGCATACACACACGCCACAGTATCACCTTTTTGCCTTGCGTCAGTCACCGGGTGAACCGACACTGCCGACAATTATGCAAATATGACTCGACTGCAGGCAATCACTTGGCATGCATTCTGCAGACGTCCATCGAATAAGCACATTTTTTCCTCGAACTTTTCATCACAATGAATTTTTTTTTATTGCAATTCAACATAGAATTCATATATATTTTATTACTGGCATGCTTTTTCAATATCTTGCTTACTCCAAGTCTTTTTTCCGTTGCAATTCTTTTTCCATGAATCATTTTTACTCACATAACTACTTACTTACATTTGTTAAAAAATTCTTCGAATGAAAAATAAAATTGCAGCAAGGTAAACGAGCTTTTATTGAAATTTACAGAAAATAAAATGTACGAAATTGAACGAAAATATAATTCATTTGATAACTGTTGGTGTTCATCTATATGAAAGCGAGTTACTTCTCAGGTCAAATATTCTTCTTATTGTCAAATATATTTTTGCCATTTTTTCCATCATCAAAAATGTGTTCCCAAATCCAGTTTACAAATTCATTGCGATCAACTATTTTATGACTCTTTTTGACTGCACCCATTTGAAAGACGTAAGTGTTGAACTTGCTGTAGGTGATACACCACCTAGAGAGAAAAAAAACAATATGAAAACAATTACATGGAATCTTGTTGAGTTTACTTGTTTCCCCTGGATAGAGAGAATTTCTGTGCAATTCGCTAGTATGGCCTCGCAAGGTGGTCAATGGACAATAACACCTGTAGCCATTTCTACGGAAACCTATTGGGAAAATAGTACAATTACACTTCAAAGACAATTTAATCAACATTCCATCGGATATACCGCTGTCATCAACCATTTTCCATTGAACAAAATTCTCCCTGTCTCTCCATCGCCGTCGGAATTCGCCCCTTGAATTGCCGTGTTTGTTTACTGTTCAGTCGGAAAATGGAATCCACAAGCAGCTCCTGCACCACTGTAATACCAAATATTTGTACGAACATTGCACTTCATCTTTTTTTTTTAATTTCCATTACAATTACCTTTCAGTTTGACGTCAAAACATTTCCGAAATTCTTCCGGCAATTTATTCGCTTCATCGCCCAATGATTTTATTGTTGCCACTGCAAGTGCTGTTGTTTATATTCAGAGTGTGAACATCGTTCATGATTCATACTCTGCCAAGTATGGTTTCTTTATAACATGTTAAGTGTTTTGACTGCGTTTGTTTACCAGTTTAACTCCAAAAACTTCACGAAATTATTTATCGAAATATTCATTAATAAAATTAAATAAATTCTTACAGCGAAGCAAATAAATCGGTTCTGTCAATCAACATTCGTTCGCAATTTCGGCTTAAATTTTCTTTGTGTGTGTCAAAATTCGACGTTCCTTTATGTAGTCGAGTTCGAGTGAAACGCACACAAGAAGCCGTCACACGTACACACTGAGCCGTTCTTTGTGACGTCAACGCTGTTTGTAATGCTGATTTTGCGTCATCTCTGTCTTCGCCTCAGTCTCCTTTCTCCGCTTGGCTGTCTTCGAATCAATCACATTTCGTCTAGTACGTCGTTTGCTGTGGCGAATTTAATAGACCAAATTAAGTATATTAGATTTGCATTTCGGGATTTGCGACCATAAAATTAGCCTATTAAACTGTATTTTCGTTCACAATTTTCGGCTATGAGCTATGCAAAAAGTAATTATATTTAAATTAAGTGGCACGAATGTTCGAAAGACCAAACTATGAACTGCTCTGATACTTCTCATTTATCAAGAAAAACAATGATACGCTGTCGCGTGCGCTCGCCTTCAATTGACTGATGCACACAAACGAAGTGGAGCGTGCTTCACTGATCAATTATGTAAATATTGACAAATACAAGTTTTATGTGTTGAGTGAACTGAACTCTCTCTCTCTCTTCTTCTCATTAAATTTGTTTACTCTGCGGTCGTTGGTTGTGGCACTTTCTCACGAGTAGTTTGTTAACAAAATTCGGTTTGTCAATCGAAAGCAGCACATCTGAAACCTAAATTGAATAATTCCTTCACCAAAAACGGTGGCCGTTGTAATTTAAAGTGGTGGTAGTGATGATGCTACTGCTGTGTTTACTGTATGGTTTGCGTGTTTACTCTTGACTTGGCATTGTGTACGTTCTACGTTCGGTCGTTTGTTGTTGATTATGCGGCAGAAATGATACTCTCTGTGTTAAAAAATACACACCGCAATGAAAAAACACAATGAGTTTTTTGTTGTGCCAATCCGCGCAAAATGAACGAATCGAGAAATAGAAAAAAAAAGTTTGAGCGATAAAAACGAATGTAAATTACAGTTTTGTTGTTTAGACAATTCTATTAGCGACAATGTCCACGGCAAGCAATGCACATTCTCTTATAATAATTCATGGAATGAGGCAACGAAGCACGAAAATGCATAACAACAAGAGTGGAAGAAAAAATGTTAAATTACACGAAATAATGAAATTCATTAAGAAAATTTTTCAAACTATTCTGTTCATGAAAAATTATTATGGCTTGAGAATTTCTTTTCTCTGCTGCACAATATGAGCAATAAATTTACCGTGGAGAATATCAAAGTTAATGAAACAGAATGAGCTGCAGAGATTTGGAAGCAAAATGAGGCAGTAATTTTATTTGGCGTAATGTATAAGCCTTGTTTAAATAATGTTGGCCGATTATAGTCGGAGCGAGTATAATTTTCTATCTTCCGTGAAGACTAATGAAAAAGGTGCACTTGAATAATGATTGCTTTGAGGATGCTTTTAATTTGTTCAATTTGTTTATTGAAGTTCGTTTGAGCAAAATGCTTGACTTGATTTCAATGGCATTGGTCAAATGTAGCTTAAATGGGCGATCACAGAATTCTATTCACTTTAATTGCAGCAGGTAAAGTCTTTTCTATCGATAAATAGCTTTAGTCTCATTTAAACTGAGGCAAATTGTAAACCATTTTACTCCGTGTGTTTCATTTAATGCAATTTTTTTGTTTCAAAGTTGAAGAGCAAAAAAAGGAGAAGAAAATGAAACTTCCTGTGAAAATCCAAGACAAAAAAGAATGAAATGACCTTTGGGAAAAGTTTTTCGTCTGCAAATCGCGAGAGTTCAATTAGATGCTACTGAGAGAGAGAATGAGCTCAAATACGCGGAAATCAAATAAAAAAAACCCGGCTAAAGTTATAGTGTATTTATAATAATGTGCCGTGAAACGAAAAAAAAGACATAATAGAACAATGGTACTTTTTCTGACAACACTGTTTTGTTCCGGAATAAATTATCTCTTTTCGGTTGCAGTCGGGGAGAGAACGACTCACAGCGACCAGTAATGTTTTTTCCCCGTGTCGGATTAAAACAAGCAAAATGCATGCAGCAACTCTTTAATTATCTTTGAAAAAAACTAGCGAGCAAACACAAAAAAAACGGGATACACTGAGTTCCTTTCAGTTTTTTTCTCCTGCCGATTCGTTTTGAATGCATTTCCAGTGCATTTGAGTGGATTTGTTGTGAGTCTTGGAAAATACAACCTTAAATGAGAATACACTAAAAAATGGAAATGAATGAAGAAGCGGAGAAAGAAAAATTGTCGTAATACAATAGCGGAAATAATGAACTCAAAAAAATGCCAGTTTTTGCAAACCGAGGAAGCGAACGAGATTCGTTTCTTGTTTATGAAAAATCAAGACATTTGATTTCAGTGGCAGCCGGATTTAATCCGTATTGAAATGTAGCAGTCATGACTGTACATAGTTATTAATCTAACTAATTAAACTTTTTGAACAGTGGCTGTGAACGTTGAGAATACGAAAAAGCGCGAACTAAATAATTGCTACATATGTACGAAATGTCACTGTATTTTCCGGGAAGAAAACTTGAATTTCGCCACAGATGCTTGACTACGAGACTTTCGTAGTACGAGAGTGTTGACGGAATTTTCGGGAAGGAGGCCAAGGGTGTGTGAGAGCGAAACACAAGTTGTAAAAAATCTTTTTCCATGAACCGCAGCTGATGTAATTTGTAACATTTTCCAGCTGATGGTGCGTTGAACGAACGAATTGTGTAATCGAAATGTCGTGAGTGCGCGGCGCGCGAGCGTTGACGGAAAAAGGAAGAAAAAGAGCAAAAGCAAAGAACAAGTCAGTTTAATTGCTTGTTTTCAAATGTATATATTCAAGTTCTCGCCACTGCCAAGCAAAGCGTCGACGATGGCATCATCAGTACGCATTGGTCGAATAACACGACCGAAAGTTTATCAACTGTAAACCGAAAACTCTCTGCATCGCACCAGCAGACCTATACAGCGGCTATAATACCAGAAAGCGGAATAAAATTAGCGGCATTTTACTTGAAAATAGAATGGCATAATAAATGAGCGGCCACACCAAAAATGAGCTATTCAATGAAGACGCAAATCGCGTGCATGCGCTCACGCTCTCAAAGGAGATAGAGAGAAAAAAGAATATGACAAAGATAAATTTTAAAACGACCGCAACAAAAAAGCGAGCATAACGAATATCGCCGAGTTATAGGGATAGAGTCACATACATAGTGGCAGTGAGTCTGTGCGAGATTAACTCGACAATAATAATCTTTAAATACTTGACTGCCGACGATGAAAATGCGGAAATAAATTTAAAGCCTCTGATGATCACAAATTTACTACGATGCGGCGTTTTGCATGAAGAGTAGGCCCAGCATCAGTGGCAGCAGCCGCCGCCGCAGCAGCATCACCAAATGGCAGCAATGGAATTCGCCCAGCGTAAAATCAATGAAAACAAATTATGTTCGCTCGAAATCGTGCCCGTCTTCTGGAAATAAGTTTCATTTGTGCAAAAGTATGTGCAGTGTGTAGTTTCGAGCGCCCAGCGAATTTTCACAAAACTTTTCAAATTCGAATTGTTGTTCATATAGTTCTTCTTGTGCCGCAAAGTCGGCCTCACCAGTCGATGAAGAAAACTCTTAAAAACAATGCGCACATTTTGTGTCCACAGGGAAAAAGGACCGATGGGAAATTCTCATTCAGAGCATATGAACACCAAATGAGTGTGTGCTTGTGTGTGTGCAAGCTGGAAAGGATGAGGGTGACTGAGTGAAAAAGATGAATATCCAGTAGATGTTTCAACTGTATCGAAATGAAACGATACTACAACGAGATAATAATTTGGTCTTTATGTTTTTGTCATTGGCCTGATTTTAAAAGATTTTCCGAAAGAAACGCCTATAATAAATGTGGCCAAACGACGTATTAGAAATGCTTTCAACATTTTACCACAATGAAAACGAGTCAAAGCGAATAAATGAGCCGCATTTTGCGTTTCTCATCCCTCATCGTCATCATTCCAAAGAGTTCTCATCATCCTCGTGCTGCCTCTCTGTTTCGCCGCACTCTCGAAACGGTTCAATCTCTTTTCATCGAAAGTCATTATGCCTAGCGTTTCCGCTACTTAAGATTTATTGGTAGGACCCTTTAAATTACATGTAAAATTGTTTAGCTCACAATGATTATTACTATAGCCACCAAATCATTTTTTTTCTGCTCTACTTTGAACAAAAGCTCGTTGATTTTCCTCCGCTGCGCCGTCGAAAACTTTTTCACAACTCGTTCATCATTGCAACTGCGGTCGAAGTTTTGGGCGTTCGTTCAATTTGTCGTTTTTTCCCTCGCTTTCTCTCTCTCTCTCGCTTTCTCTCTCTCTCTCTCTCTCATGAATTAATTGAAGTTTCTCGGTTTTCCTGGAATAATATATTCATTTCATAAGACAACGTCTACGCAACTAGCCATCCGAAACTATGGCAATTTAAGACGGCAGCAACATGATTTACTCGGTAAATAATTCATTTGTTTGAAATAACTAGAAAGATGGAGCGAGTATTTGATTACGTGCTCTATCATATCGGTTTGGGTCTGGTGTGCCAATTTTCGGTCGGGTATTTGAATTACCCACGCAATCACAAGGCAAATTGAACATGTGAAAATATTGATTTGCTACAAATTATTATCTCTCAATTGGAGCCCGTTGTGTATGCTTGGTGTGAACACATTGTGGGCACATATGTTTCTATGCCAAAAATGACCTAATGTTTACAGTCGTTGTTTGAATGTAAGTAATCTCTATCACCTTGATCAGCCACTGAAACTGAGCTCACTGTGTGCGTGTGTATGCGTTCATGCAATCGACACTGGGTTCTGTATCAGATTTATGATAACTGATTCCGAACATTCCGTAGCACATCCGATCTTTCATTGCATTCAAATGGTTCACCATAAACTAAGAGTTGGTATTTTGGTAAATTGGCTAGGCGCATCTAGTAAACGAGAACACAAGTTATCTCTTCGTTGTGTGTATTGCGATATTCGGAAACTGTTTTAAATTTTTCGACGATGAAATAAATTGGTTTTGGCAAACCGCACACACATACGACGTGTGCAAAACGAACGGCGAGAAGTTAAAATCTCGGCGATTCCAGTGGGTCGAGGAGAAAAACTATGTACGAAAAGTGCTTATGCAATTGAACTTCATACGCATCAGGAAAAATATTTTCGTTTTCGGCTTACACAAACATGAAACGGGCGAATATCATCACGTATGAAATGAGCGACGATATGTAAACTTGTACAATGTTGTCGTGCCATAATTGCAAAAGCCGTATTAGCTCGCTCGCTCGCTTTTGCTTTATAGTTTGGTATCTCTTGCAATTGGGATAGAAGAGCTCAAGAGTTCAGCATGAAAAAGCATATAAAATAAGAGGCAGTTGAAAATAAAGAATGCGTCCCAAACGTGTTCGGATTTTCAAAAGCTGTGCAACGC